CAGACACAGACACAGACAGAGGGAAGAGAGAGGGAGGCTGGGGAGTGATGATGGGAGGGAACCTGGCGACATTGGTGCTGGGAAATGTAGACTGGTGGAGGGGTGGGTGTTGGTACACTGTATCACTGAAACCTAATCATGAACAGCTTTGTAAGGGTCTATCTCACAGTGATTCAGTAAAAAAATTAAACAAAAACATAAGAAAAGCACTACACTCTGCTCCCACTAGAAGCCAATTTGAACAAAAAGCAATAACCAATCCTATGGGAGTATTTTCTGTGCACATTAAAAAATGTTTGAAACTGTCATATATTTCAAATACGGCACATCAATAACTTGAATGCTACTGGAGAATACATGAGCAATCATACGTTTCTCTTCTACCCGTAATACTGAGCTGTTATTTACTCCATGTATAATGTGGGGGGGGATCATATATTATATACTTACTGTCTGAGTTAAAGGGTGTGTGTGTGATTTTTAAACATCTGTAGGTTTTTTTTTAAAGTGTTAGATTTGACACACTTCAAAGTAAAAACTTGGGGAAACACTTCGAGAAATGTTTTACTGCAATCTGACCACTGTGCCCCTGTAAACGCCCATCAACTCCTTCTTAGCTAAAATGGACACCGTTAATCTACAAATTACTTTTATTTAAAAAGCCTTCTTTTCAATTTTTTGCTCTTGTAATGCTTTTCATTTCTTTCTTTATTTTTAGTTCACTGTATCTGTCAGTGACTAGAGGATTTATTACACTGATTTACTGGGTTGGGGGTCACGCTGAGGCCAAACTTGTTTCAACAAAAAACCTGGGTGGTCTGTGAGTAGAAGGAAGAGCACCACACGGTGCTAGGGCACAAGGCAGTGGTTGGACAAAGCTCAGAGAGAGCGAGAAAGTCCCCGACGCTCGCTCCACCTGCTTTCGTGGATAACCATAATGTCCCCGTCACTGTTCTCTTACCAAAGTCACTTTGGCTCACGGCCAAGCCACCAACACGTGGTTCCATTTAGACTCTCAGTGGGGCTATGAACATTAGTAATCGATTCATCTGGAAGCCTGTTGTCCGGGGAGGTCTTCTCAAGGTACCGCCCCCACCCCAGTCCATACATAGGCATCCCCTGAGCATTTAGGAGAGAGGCTTATTGGCAGGCCAGATTCGGAGCTCTTCAATCAGAAGGTGCAGGAGGTGGGGAGGTCCAACTGTTTCTTTTTGTTTTTCTTTGCGGGTCACATGCAGCAACGCACAGGGGTTACTCCTGGCTCTGCACTCAGGAGTTACTCCTGGCGGTGCTCAGGGGACCATGTGGGATGCTGGGAATCGAACCCGGGTTGGTCGCGTGCAAGGCAAATGCCCTACCCGCTGTACAGTCGCTCCAGCCCCCAACTGTTTCTTTTTTTTTTTAATTATTGCTTTTGTTGGGCCACGTTAGGCAGTGCTTGGGAGCTACTCCCAGTTCAGTGCTCTGGGTCACTCCTCTGGGTGCTCAAGAAGCAAGAGAGAGAGATGGAAATCAGGAACCTGGCATCCCACCAGCCCTGTGAGCTATTTCCTGTTCCCAGCTGTTGGCCATAACAGGAACCTCCTTCCGCCCTCACCCCATGCCCAGTGTTTAGGACCATCTGGAGAATGTTAGTCAAAGAAAAACGAATTGCATGGATGCAGTTTTAAATTTCTTCTTGTGACTGACCTCAAGGAACGTCATTTCACAGAATAAATGAGTAAATATCCTGGTTTCGTCTGTCTATGAGATCATTATGAAACCAATTGAAATGACATCTTTGGAAGACCTAGTAATTGCGCTGGGAAAGTGCTCACGATGGAGTGCTCCCTGGCAAGTGCTGGATGCAACAAAAAGGGACTTTAACTACAAAACATGTCAGAGCCTCCCGGTGGCTGCTGCCCACTAATTGGCCCCTTTTAACGGCACCTGCACACTGGCATCACTTTACCACCCTGTTCACTGCATCTTCTGTCATATCGATGTCCCCACTTCCATTTGAAAAACCGACAGCCACTTCAGTTTTCCAGTCTTCGCTCTCTCATGATTCTGCTATCAACTTCGAAGCACGTCCCAGTCCTGTGTCCCACTCGTGGGCTCCCAATGAGAAACTGAGCCCCGGGGGAGGCTGCTCTTGCTTAGTCTCCGACCCAGGCTCTGTGCTTGGGGCCGTCAGAGGGAGGGGCCTGGCCCAATGCTACTTGACCCCGAGCTAACTCAGTGTGTGAATCACTTTGATGATGGAAGCTGGGAGGAAATTAAGAACAAATGTGTGGGTAGAAAATGAGACCTTTGGAGAGAGCGGAAGGGCTCCCCTTGGAGTAGATCTTCCAGCTATTTGGATAGAGACACACTCTGTGTCTTATGTAGTCGTGGCCGAGTGGTTAAGGCGATGGACTAGAAATCCATTGGGGTTTCCCCGCGCAGGTTCGAATCCTGCCGACTACGACACCTTTTGATTGTCCGCACACACCTCCTGACTCCTCAGGCTGCTTGATGC